GCTCACCTAGTAGAAGAACTAGGCACATGAGCATCTTTTCCTCTGGATAAATCTCTGGGAGTGTGTTGGTCTTCTGACAAAGTTAAGGAACATCAGCTAATGCCTGTCTCCACCTGACCCATCCCTTAACCTGATGAGGTGTCCCTCAGTGAAATTTGGCCTCCCTATAAAAACATGTCTATTGCTCTCTTCTTCGGCTAATAGCCATTTATGTAGGTTTTTTCATCTTCTTAAAAAATAAGCTTTCTTACTTTTGTTCTAAGGTAGTTTTTTACTTGCCATTTACTGAGTCCCCTGCAACAGAGTAGGTGCTTTAAATAGTGTTGTTATTACGATTGTCCCAAAGAGATTTATCTGAATCTGTGACATCAGATATTAACCTTGCTTTGCAGCCCTGTGATTACAGGGCTGAGAGCACCATGTAAGCTGAGGTACTTGATGAGACAGCAATTTCAAAATATAAAGCACAATTTAGAAGTTGAATGACAGGCAGCCTCCACTAACCATCACCCATCCGTTGTATGTATGCAAAGGTGTACTTTTTTATGGTGGTAGATATGACTATTTACTGGGTTTGGGTATTGATGCTTAGGGTTATTCAGAACATATGAAACAATACTTTCTGTGTGGTTCTGTATATTTCATTTGTAATGATCAGCTATTCAAGTTTTTAAATAGGGCACTTTTATGGTGTTTTCTATTTCTGATGAATTATTTGAACTTATTTATGCAAAGGCTCCTTTGGACTGCAAAAATCTCTCAGGCTAAAAGCATCTGAGGAAGAACACAAAAAGGACTTGTATGATGCAAAGAAGTTTTCAAGTAACTGAACATTAGATTCAGTAGCTACAAGGTCTTTGTGTTTATCTAGCAGTGTAAAAAACTGAGTGGTTTAAAAAGAATGAATAGACTTTCCCTGGGGGAGATGTCAGCAGAAAAGTGCAAGCAACACTACAGCTCACTCCATGAGCTTTACTCATAGATTCGTTCATGGTTTTCTTTTGGGTTTTGCTTTTCTTTTTTTTTCTTTTATTTTTTTTCTTTTTTTTCCCCCCTAAGTGTACTTGGAAAGGCTGGGACTCAGAAACCTGAAGTTTACTGCAAACATACACAGAGTGCTTTTAAGGTTGATGTTCTCCTCCTTTCTCTCTCCTGTTTTCCTGACCACCCTTCCATTGGCTGATTTGCAGTTTTAAAATTTGAGAATTTTCTCCTTATATGCAGTTCCTCCTTTTTTCACAGCTCAGTGCCAGGTGGCTTAGTATTCCCTCTACTTTAATTATCTTTGTCAGCCTTATTTGACATTGTAGCAACAGAAGTGCTTTTGCTGTAGTATCTGAGTATCTTGCCAGATGGCAACAAGGGAGTTCTGCAGTACTTGTAAATTGGTTTGGTATCACCTGACAGTGAGAGCTTACTTACAGTGTAAGATAAGGTTCATGACCACAGCACCGGCACAGTGATTTCTGCTGTGTATGCCATGTAATCACCATATGCAGTAGATATTTGTCTGGTTGTGTTTGTATCTTAGCATGAAATTAAAAAAAAAATCCTCAAGAAAAAGCTGGACACCTCTTCCAGATGGCAACGAAAGCTTTCTCTGGCTGCCAGATTATTGTAAAAGAGGATAGTCTTCTTGCAAGACTAAAGCATACCACTGTGGCAATGCTTTCAGCCGTTCAAGGCAAGAGATGACAACATTTCTCATCTTGCTTAGATTTCAGAAATATAGCCTTTGTGACAGCTGGCTTCCTACTTGTGTACCTCTGAAATTGCCCTAGATTAACATAAAGGTTATTTAGATGTCTGAAAAAGGTTTGGAAAGACTGAAAGAATACAAATAGCAGAACTCTGCTGAATACTAAGTCTAGTCATTTTGTGGTGAAAATGACTACCAAGAAAGGCCTTACACAAATGCTGGAAGAACAGCAGTGTGTTGTCGTGTGGTCAGTGTGACCTCTCTTCATTTTAACTAGAACACTGCTGAAAAGGAGCTAAAAAAGGCATCCCTGAACTGTACACGAGTAGGTAATGCTGCAGCAGGTCTCATAATATATATGATGAACACACAGTTTAGTGGGAAGTAATAGTGTCATAAACCAGCGGAAAGGTGTAAGTCAGAAGCAGAAAAAGAGGTTAGGGTTTTGAATCCATGTCCTGCTAGTGGAGGACTGCTCCCTGCAGTACGTTTTCTCATACTTTGCCTAGTCTGCTTTTAAATGCCTTGTGTAACAGTGGGTTCCACAATTTCCCTTGGGAGGAAGAGATGATGTTTGGTACCTCTCTTTGTCAGGAAGCTGCTGTTGGTATCCTGCCTGCTTCCCTTTGCCTAACTCCATCTCGTTACTCTGAATGATTCCCTGGGCAGCACTCTGACCAACGCTGCTCTTCCTTTCTGTCCTGAGCCTGCAAAGGGATGGAGGCTGGTGGGAACTTTATAGGCCCCTGCATGGCTCAGAGCGACCACACACAGTCCCGGAGGCTAGTCGGTGGGAACTGGTCTCTCTGGGGAGCAGCCTGAAGTCAAGGGTGGTCCTATAGCATCCTAGGGGCAGCCCCAGTGCAGTCTCCCGCTTCGGGCAGCTTTAGTGTAAATATGCCCCAGATCTTCCCTGACAGAACCTGGCATGTCTTCTTTGACCACCTGTAGCCTCCATGGCATGGCTGTAAAGGAGATGGGATACCTGTAGGCAGCAGCTGCCATCTCCCTTCACCAGAGACTGTCCATGCAGTAGGAAACAGCAGCTTTGGGGGTTCCCTAATTCTCAAACTCTTTGGATAGGGATACTTTTCTTCAGTAAATAGGCATGTACAACAGCACGGCTGTCTCTTTATCCTACTTGTTCACATATGCTTATATGCTCACAGCAGGTAGTTGCAAAATTATCTTAAATTTTGTCTCTGAGACATACTGCACAGTCCCAGGTGGGTTGTGTCATGTCTCCCTCCCTTCATTTTGGGAATCCTTGCTCTATAGCATAGGGCATACTCAAGGTTTTCCAATGTACCAGTTAGTTTTCCCAAGTCCTGTCCCAGGGTTTGCTCCTGACTGTAAATACAGTTGATGTTCAGTAAATCTGACCTTGAAAGTACCTTCAACTATAGTGCAAATACAGCCAGAGAGTCTATTCTATGCAAATTCAGGTCCACACGCAAACTCAGGGTTTTATTTTTCATATATTTGTTGAATGAGAGCCCCTTCTCAGCCATCTGCTGGACAGAATATATGGGCCATATACACAACTTGTTTTTCTACCTGAAAACACAGCTGACAATCTGACCCATACGTTTTACATTGTTTCTTCCCAGTTAGTTTCTACAACCTCCTGAGAGGGTTGTTTTAGGTTTTTTTTGTTTGTTTGTTTGTTTGTTTTAGTGTTTGAATAAACTTCAGTTTGCCAGCAACTTCCTGGTACTGTGATGTCTTTGGGAGAATAGAAATGTCATGATGGCTTCAGTAGGTTCAGTTCAACACTGCTATTGGGTTTTGCACTCATAAACATGGGTGGGCAGAAGCAGCAATAGCAATAATAGGAAAAACATACTGTCAGCTCACTCATTAAGAACTGGACACATACTAAAAAGAGCATAGAAAATATATTTTTCCTTGCTCCACATTAACCATTTACTCACTTGAATGAGACCTCTATAAAAATGGCTTTGTCCTGTGCAAAGGAAGAGTTTAATAGATCTGTTTATCAAGATACTGTCAACATCTTAATATGGCTGACTTGGTAATTTTTGCATGTGTATTTAGCAGTTCTTGATGCAAACTCAAGATGGCATCACTCCAGATGCGAACAAAGCAGAAAAAGCAGGGCTTTCTCTCCTATGGGTACCACCCCTTCCAATGATCTCCATGCCTACATACACAGATACTTTAATCATTTGGTGTTTGGTACTTGATTGTTATCCACCAACTCCTGGTTCAACTTATGGCTGACTCACCTGGGAAATTTGCATTCCTGAGAAACTTACAAACTACAAGGATTTGTAGCTTTTACATATGTGCTGTTTGCAACATTTTGCTCTGCTAAACTACCAGCCCAAAATATTCACTAAAGCTTTAGTGACTCTTCATTACAAAAATTGCTATCCAGTCCTGAGAATACATTACTGATGTTAGTGGGTGGATCATGACCCAGCAGCAGTAGTTTCACAGATTAATAATTTTTTATTATTACTATTATTCAGTGTTTCCAAAAGAATAACATAGTTCTGCACACATTTTTAAAAGAATTAATTGGATTTTTCAAAAATTCACCACCAGTGAAGCAGAAGATTGCTTCTAGCATGTTCCTTCTGCAGTTGGGAGAATGCTTACCAAATGGTAATCATGGAGCTTACTGCAGAGTCATGTATAAAGTTTAGACATTGTCTGAATTTTATGAGAATTTATCCAGTTCAAATAATGTGTTCTATTTATACATCTTTTTTCCCTATGTTGCTGTTATTATAAGAAACAGCAAGATTTCTGAAGAAATAAAATAGGCATCATTAGATTTTAATTACAATCAATTGGTAAGGTCACTAGCAAAGGCACTTATCAGCTGAGAAATAAAAAGTGCCTTTGAAATATTAAGAAAAATACTAAACCTCTGGCTGAATGATTAACTACTATTGAAATTGTTTAATTTCACTAACTCTGCCATTGTGCTGAAAAATTTTCTCTTTAATTTACGGTGAAAACGTATGTCTCATTGCAGGAATAACTTAACAATTTTAGCTGAGAAATGAGAATCTTGTAGTAACTTCAAGTATATAACAAACAGCCGTGTCAAATTAGCATTTATTTGTCAATGTGTAAAATTATAAAAAGAGAAGAAGTTATAAAAAATCTAGAAAAAGTCAACAGTTTTGAAGTCTGCACTTCAGAGGTTTTAATATGAACATTGGTACACATTGAAATCAAACTGTAGTCGAATGAAAGCAAACTTGGAACAAATATTTTGAAATAATTTGTTTTACAAAACAAGCACTACCATTTGTATCATTCTTACCTGCAGAGGTTTTCACAATTTCTGAAGTATTTCTGAGACCCATAAAGTCAAACTGATAGAGTCTCCAAGACTTCTGGTCAGCAGCCTCCACTGAATTTTTCCTCCATCTGTAAATCATTTCCTCTTTAGGGTAGCCATCTAGAAATTAAATATATATATATATATACATATAAAAATATATTGCATTTCATAAAAAAAGGTACTGCAAATCAGTATCTGTTCACTGATTTAGAGCTATTTGGGAACACCTAAATTTCTGATCTCATGCTTTCTCCGTGCGTTTGGTGGTATAATTCAGCTAAAGAGTTGTATGGCACACAAAAATAGAGTCATAATACTGGCAAAACTATGATTTTTTCACAATCATGTGTTTGGTTTTTTTTTCCAATGGAGAAAAATTCTGATTGGTTCTATCAGAATTAGATCTCTTCAAAGATACAGTTGATTGTACTAATCTGAGGTCCAGACACAGAAGTGTACTGCTTTACATATGCTCTGAAAAAGCTGTGCAGACCGATAGAATGTAAAAAAAGTGTGTGTGGGGGGAGAGTTGTCAGTGCAGGATGTAAACAATGGAAAAGAACAGATTGTTTTAAAAGTGACAATAGTTCTAATGTAGTGTGTGCTACTGTACTCCGAAATGAGCTCAATACAGTGCAAAAAAAGCAAATTTTTAATTAGTATGGAATTTTAAAAGTGATTATGCCATCACATTACTTCTAAACGCTGTGGTATTTAATGAGGCATCACCTGATCTCTACAGCTGAAATAGCTTCTGAAAGTCTTCCTTTATCAATTTAGCACTTAGTAGTCATAATTAATCCTCATGCCAATATTTAATTTCCTTTTTGTTAGAGAATTGTATTTTCCAACAGAAGTCCAACAACAAATCTTCAACTAGCCCAAACCATAATAACAGGCCATCTAGAAAACAACAGCATGCCCATGCTAGTTAAAACTAGATTGTTCTCTAATGCGTAATACAATAAATGCCTATTCGTCTATTAACTAATACAGTAGATGTAGATTACAAGGCAAATTAAAAGCCTAACAACAATAGCCAGTTAATATAACTGTCTCAGCTGTAATTGGATACAGATAAATTTTGATATTTGCATTGCAAAACAACTTCTCTGGTCATGGTGCTATTTTCTTGATGTTTTCCTCCTATAAGTGTCTTCTTCATCTTGTTTAACATTCCACCCTGCTGGGGCACTGCTATAAGGTGCGCCTGGCCTCACTTATCCCTCTCACTAACACAGCATGAAAAGTACCCACCAGTCCCTCAGTTCTAATCTGTAGAAAATGACTATGTGTTAATTCAAAATGCCATGTTCATATATTTCCCATCAATGTAAATAAAGAAATAACACATGAAGGACCCAACTGAGTAACAAACACAAGCCCTGCCGTTCTCCACGAGAACTCTTGCTGCCAAGCAGATTTCACTGCCAATTCTGCTGTGCCAGTCTGTGAGATTGATCTAAAGGTTAATTTGTTTTGGCTGGCAGATTATGTCAGAGGATGCAGAGGTACAGTGAAAGAAGTCAGGCTTTGCAGGGCATCCAAGCCTTACCCTGTATCTTCTGAAATCTTCTCAAGCCTTGCTCCTATTTGACTGAGCCCTCTGATCATATTTCTGACTGAATAATGTCTCCCTCTTACAGAAAGTCCTACGTTTAATCATAGAATCATTTAGGTTGGAAAAGACCTTCAAGATCATTGAGTCCAACCGTTAACCTAGTTGCCAAGTTCACCACTAAACCATGTCCCTAAGAATCACATCCTGATAACAGAAGAAAGGAAACCCTTGCCCTGTGGCACTCCCTACACTAGCTGCTGCTGCAGAACTTGTGGCCCCAAGTGCTAATTTGCAGATTTTGTAGCAGGCAGTAGATGGGACCCCTTTTTTCAGGTAAATTTCACCATAATCATTGCAAGTAAAAATGTTTCAAATATCCTGGAAGCAACAAAGTTTTTATTTTTTTAAATGTATTATTTTAAATTGATCCAAAATGAATTTTTTTTTCCAAATTTTGCTGAAAAAGTTGTGTCAATTAGTCTTGAATTCAATTTCTTCCTGATTTTTTTGCTTTTTTTTCATCCCCTGGCTCCATTACACTGTCAGTAGGCTTGAAAGCTTGCTATCAGATTACCCAAGGCATAGCTGTTTATCCTGGCATAAGCAGCATGTAGTCAGGAACAAGTTCATGAGACACTCATTCTTCAAGATTTTTCCTATATTTTTGACTAAGAAGAGAGACATGCAATTTCAGAATAACTGCTTTCAGTATTATTCATCATCATTAAATAGTAAGCAACTGACTTCAGGAGACCATCATGCCCTTTCAATAGTAATCCCCTTAATCCACAGTCACTGACATCTGCTCTTACAATGGCTGGGTTACTTACATCAAAGGAGATAAGTACTAAAGATTCAATGGGAGTTGTTTCAACCTGTTAAATAACTGCTATTATGCTCTGCTCCAGCGCCAGGTGACTTCACTTTTCAATTCATTTAAAAGATATGATATTTGTTATGGAATAATGACACTTCTACTTGGACAGTATATCACTCCTAGGATTCATTTAACTTGCAGAATGGACTATTCACGATGCTTCTTCTTTCAGTGATATCTAATATGTCTTGTATACAGCTTAATTGCTTTTAGCTCTCTAGATGCTTCATTTTAGAAAATATCAGAACTGGAGACTCCAGTACTTCTACAAAAAAATGCAACCTCTGCTGTTCAGCCCACAACACAACTAAGAGTGTATTATCTACAGAAATGTCTGTTTTCCTTCACTTCTCCAGCATGACAAATGGCAGTAAATTACCTTAAATTCTTGACCTTGTGGCTTCAAGCCATCCATGCTGAACAAATTGCTATCAAGTGTATTTACCCTGTCAGGTTGCTTTAGGTTATGTAAGAATATCCATACTGCAGCAGGGCAAAGCTCCAGGAGGTCCTGGAGGCTTTCCAGCCGGTGCCAGTAGGACGGAGAGGGGGACAGCATGGGAAGAAGACAACCACGACAACCAAGTGTGTGTTCTCTGTTACAGCCATCCAAGTTCTGGCAACCTGCAACTCAGGAGCTTCTCAACCAAAGTCCGTGTCAACACCTTCATTTTCCCTCCCATGAATTTACTTGATTGCCTTTAAATTCTCCTGTTTTTTTGGCCTGGTGGTTATTTTGTAGGCTGTGCTGTAGCTATTCACATCTTCTGCAGGTTTTAGATTTATATACTACTATGTCAAAGACTTTCAGAGATCACCTTGACCATTTGGCTTTTTGTAAGACCGGTACTACGTGCCTTTGTAAAATCAAGTCAAGAACAAATTTGGTTGAAGTTATTTCTTTAAGAGCCCAGCAGAAAGTATCCATGTAATATCTCCTGTTTACTTTCACCAAACATACTTAATGTTTTTTCCAGTTAACACAAATGATTGGTACCTTTGTTGCTTTACTCATAGGCTTAAACATACACATTTTCAAAGTGTACCACTGACTTTAACTCCAATAATGCAAACATAGATAAACAATAAATGCACTTTTTGATATTTTGGAGGTGAACCTATTATAACAGAAAGCCAAATTGTCATGACAACCTGTGAGATTCTGTGGATTTTGTTACTAGAATAATTGAACTCATGTTACCACATCTTCTCACGTCACCACCACATAATTTATAACTATCAGGTTAAAAAATATTTAAACTTCATTCTTCATGTTCACACTACTTCACTTTCTAGGGAGACTGAGTGATTTGTGCAGAAGCCTTCACCAAACTGCTGCAAAAATGATTAAGGTCAGAAACATCTCCAGGCTGGATGAGAGGCATATGCAATCACAAGATAGGCATGAGAATGGTGTCAACTAGCCCTGAAACACGTCTGCTACAGGAGTCAACACTGATGGAAAATCAGCAACTTCCATAATACAACCATTGATGTATCCATGCCTGTTAGTGCATACTGCCTCTAACACTGATTTCCTCAATGCTGTTGTTGGTCTGGGCACCTTAGAGCAATGTTTGATTTCTTTGTTTCACCTTCTTTTCTGTGGTAATTGGTCTATTTTAGGAAGTGAGTAGAGATGGGAAGAAGATAGCACGAAGGGGATCGTGTCAAAAAAGACACAGACCACTTGAAGAACTAGTTTCTGTCTAAAAAACTTTCCTTATAAATTTATCCAAGACATGGAAAGACAGAGAGGCATGGTAAAAACCCAACCTCTTTCATCTCTTCATATTTTTCCCCCTCTGTGAAATCAGTTTGTTTTACTGCTGGTTCCCCACACTTTGTATTCACATGTAACACAGGCAGACCCAGCTTGTAGCAGAAGAAATAATGCAACAAGGAAGCTCAACTCTACTTCCTAGCCTTGGAAATATTTGTATGCTCAGAGCGTGCAATGAGGAGTTAATGAAAGCAGCAGCAAAGCTGAAAGTGTGGGGGAAGCAGGCAAGAAAGGATCCGTTCAGTTGGGTATCTGCCAGGGGGCTGACGCTTGTGACAGGAGTATATATTTGAAAGACGTAGCTGGATTCTGGGAAGGTTCTGCTTTTCCAGTGGTGTTAGATATACACTCAAAGTCAGAAGAAAGCATGATCTGAAGGACAAGCTGTCACCATCAGCTAGTGGTCAGAGTTTACACCACAGGCATGAAGGGAGTGTGGTAGATTCAACTGCTGCTGATGAAGGTGGTCAGGAGAGGAAGGATGTCCTGACACAATTAGAGGCAGGAGATGAGCAGCCCTTTACACCTTACAGCCAGCTGCTTCCAGACATGCTTTGCTTCCTCAGATGCTGCCTAGTAAACTGTTCTTCAGGCTAATTGGGAGATCTCTGTCAACACAGCCTCAGTCAGAGGAAGAGGGAGACCCTTGTCAACACAGCCCCAGCCAGACGACTACAGTGAAGTCCAGAAATGCACCTCTCACTGGTACCATGTTGTGGATGACAAATCATATGCTTCTACAGAAGCTGCCTGGGCTCTTTTTCTTGTTTGCAGTCTTTATAAATGCTTCTTTGTTGGCAAGCAAACTGCATTTTTAATCCAAACTTCTCCACATTTTGGAGGAAGAAGTTTCTCTGTGATCTGTTCCTGTATCTGTCCAGTGTTTGTTCTCAGAA